TCGGGGGGCGGAAAACAGGGGAGAGGGGCGGCCGCCCGCCAGCCACTGCCCGACAACCCGGAGAGATTTGACTCTGTGTCCTGTGTGCTGGGCCGTGAGGGGTTCACCTCGGGGAGACATTGCTGGGAGGTGGAGGTGGGGGATGAGCGAGACTGGGCTGTGGGGGTGGCCAGAGAGTCTGTGAGCAGGAAGGGAGGGATCAGCCGTAGCCCTGAGGGGGGGATCTGGGCTGTGCAGTGGTGGGGGCATCAGTTCCGGGCTCTCACCTCCCCTGTGACCTCCCTGCCACTGAGCTCCCCCCACAGGATCCGGGTTTGTCTGGACTGTGACCGGGGGCAGGTGACATTTATTGATGCTGGAACCGAGGCCCCGATCTTCACTTTCCCACCGGGCTCCCTCCCTGGGGAGAGAATCCGACCCTGGCTCTGGGTGGGGATGGGATCCCAGCTCAGCCTGCGCCCCTGAAATCAGCCTCTCTGGCCTCAGACATGCCGGTCTCTGTGACCCTGGAAGAATCCCATGTACCCAGCCCCAGACTCCTCATCTCTATGATGCCTTAAAGCTCCTCCCCTCCCTCCCTCCAGCCCCAGAGATGGGAGGGATAAGAAGACACCCTAGGAGGGGCAGAGGTTTGGGCTGGGCAGGGGTAGATCTAACAGCTGGGGCTGGAGACAGGCAGAGGCTCTGCAGCCACCCTCTGTACTCATCTAGGAGCTGGGCCTGTTGCTGGGCCCTTTTGGGCACAGTACTGCTACAGTGCCAGGAGATGCAGGCATCTGCCTTAGCACCCCCGCCTATCACCCTGCAGAAACAAGTCCCAATGCCTGACATTCCTCGAACCAGTACTGGGTTGTGAGCTGCCGTTTGAAACCCACTGATCTAGGCAGCCCTTTGCCTCTAGCAAATTCTCCTGGTGCTGCAGGCCCTGGGTTGTAGCAGCGTCCCTTGTGCAACAGTGCAGAGAAAGGTGAACATTAAACTCTGGTGCCAAATGAACCCTTGGGAGAAAGAGGCTCCTTGTTAAAATTCAGCGCTGAGCATCGTGGCAGTGACCCCAGCTAGCCAGTGCCAACCTGGGTCTCCGGAAGACTGGAGAGCCCAGGCTGCAATGACTACACCATTCCCCGGCTACAGTGGCACTGATGCCATCTGGCTTCCTTGCAGCTGTCGTGTATCTACACCCAAGGGACTTGGGGGCGTAAGCAGCTCCCTGGGCTTTTGGTGAGATTTGTGCTCCCACATCCTTTATGTGTTTTGGAAACCCCAAGTAACCCATCTCCCTGCTCAGGAAGAGCTCGGTTACCCGGAAAGGCAAACAAGGGGCTAAATCCAGGCCTGAGGCAGCAGGAAGCTGCGAGTGCCTGTGATGACAACACATGTATTAAAAGAGACGAGGCAGGTAGCACTAACAATTGTCTGTTTGCACTGGAACAGGCATCTTTGAGTTTCTCTGTCAAGGGAGGCAGGAGTGACAGCACCAGTTCGCAGCACACGGGGGCACATGTGAGCTAGGAGGGGCAGGTGACTGTGTTGAGAGCCCCACTTCTTTCTTCCTAACGTAGGCCCCAATCCAGCAAACAGCAACTGGTGTGATGGGCTCTGCCCGGTGCCAGCTGACTGCCCTCACACAGCTGTTTGCAGGCTTGTCCCCGTAGTCACACCAGGCCTTTCTGGACATACCTAGATAATACGCCTCGTGGCTGCTAATTTTCTCATCCCCCTGCACCTTCTGACTAGAGCAGGAGCAGCGTATGGAAGCGTGTCCCAAGGCAGGGCTGGGGGCATTCTGACCAGGCAGCAGAGAACAGGAGCCCCCTGAACACCGCACTGAGTACCACACATTCCGTAAAGATTGGGCTTGACTCTTGGGCGGGGGGCAAAGGGCTTGTTCTCTCTTCCCAGGTGCTCTGCTACAGAGACTCACGCTATGTCTACGCCGCCTCTTTTTTGTGGAGGAAGCAATGCAAATGAAGCGCTCATTAGCAACTTCTCGTGCTTCGTTTGCATATTCTCTTCCGCTGCTTGAAGAAGGGTTTTGTTGGAAAAAAAAAAAAAAAGCTGTGTAGATGGGTCCATTTTGCACACAAAAAAAAACCCCCTTTTGCACAAGAGCCCATATTCCTCAAAAAATGTTTACAGATTCTTGAGCACTTCATTTGCATTGCCTCTTCTGCAGAAAACAGGCAGGGTAGACATAGCGTCAGTGTGCTCAGGGGAATCCCCGTGTTCTTTCTGTGATCTTACAGTGGCAGTAATACAGTCCCCTCTGTTCACAGGGGACTACTGAGCCCAGCGGGGGGCTGAAAGGGACTTGGGCCCTGGGCCAAGCCTGCCCAGCTCCCTTCTCCAGTAGTATAAGGAACTTATGTCTGGACTCTCATCTTGCCCACATTGGGTTGACCATAGAGGCTGCGTCTAGACTGGCATGATTTTGCAGAAATACTTTTAATGGAAAAGTTTTTCTTTTAAAAGTATTTCTGCAAAAACGTGATGCTTTTGCACAAAAAGTGCTTTTGCACAAAAGCATCCGTGGCCAGTCTAGACGTGATTTTGCGCAAGAAAGCTCCGGTGGCCATTTTCACCATTGTGGCTTTTTTGTGCAAAACAGTCCTTCCCAGTCTACACTGGCCCTCTTGCGCAAGTATTCTCGCGCAAGAGGGCTTTTTCCCGAGCAGGAGCGTGAAAGTATTTGCACAAGAAGCACTGATTTTGTACATTACAAAGTCAGTGCTCTTGCGCAAATTCAAGTGGCCAGTGTAGACAGCTGGCAAGTTTTTGCGCAAAAGCAGCTGCTTTTGCGCAAAATCTTGCCAGTCTCGACGCACCCAGATAGTTTTCAAGTATCTCAAAGGGTCTCACAAGGAGGAAGGAAAAAAATTATTCTCCTTGGCCTCTGAGGACAGGACTAGAAGCAAGGGGCTTAAACTGCAGCAAGGGAGGTTTAGGTTGGACATTAGGAAAAACTTCCTGCCTATCAGGGTGGTTAAACACTGAAATAAATTGCCCAGGGAGTTTGTGGAATCTCCATCCCTGGAGATATTTAGGAGCAGGTTGGCCAGACACCTGTCAGGATGATCTAGACAATGCTTGGTCCTGCTCTCACGGACTGGACTTGATGATCTCTCAAGGTCCCTTTCAGTTCCAGGAGACTAATGGCCTAAATTCTTGCTGCCCAAGGGGTCCACCCAAGTGCACTCTCAGGGTACATCTACACTGCAACACCATTTTGGGATACCAGAGTATCTCAAAATAGCTACCTCACATCTTCACAGGAAGCACATTATTTCAGGCTCGCTATTCCGACGTGCCTGTAAGTCTCATTCTACAAGGAGTAAGGGATGTTTCCAAATAGCGCGTTATTTTGAAATTTGGTGCTGTGCGCCAAATGATAAAATAAGCAATTTTGAAATAGCATTGAAATAAGATACACAATTTGCATAGCTCATATTGCGTATCTTATTTCAAGATACAGTGCAGTGAACATGCACCCCAGCGACCTAGCATGAGACACCACCCCAGGCGTATCTCTGAAAGAAGCAGAGAGGCTACGTATAGACTGGCATGATTTTCCGGAAATGCTTTTAATGTTTTTAAGGCGAAGGCTGAAAGTTCAACCAAGCCCCCTCCTGGGGGCCTGTAACTGTTGCTGTCCCTGCTACAAAGACAGGGCCCAGGTGCAGGGAGCCAGGTCACATTCTCCTGCCTGACAGCCTTAGCCCTGGCTACAGAGAGAAGAGGCCAATGCAAACAGCCCCATGGCAGAGAGGGAGTCAGCACGTCGGTGGGTGGGGCAGGGAGCTGGCGGCAGAGCTGGGCTCTAACTCGCTGGGTGACCTTGGCCAATGCAGTGAACCTCTCCCTGCCTCCATGTCCCTGTCTGGTCAGCAGGGACAGCAACACTCACTGGCCCCATAGGAGGTGCCCGGTTTGATGCTTCACCCCACGGCCTAGCAATGAGCACCCAACCTCCCCCTGTGCTCGGGGAGCCAGGTTTGCTGTGTGAATTCTGTGGGGCAGGTGACATCAGGCCTG